TCAATTTGTTAATGAAAATATTATTTAAAACTTACATTTTGGTACAAAATGTTTTTACGATGACATTTTACTACATAAACTTTTCAAAATTTTCATAATGATCTAAAATTATTTCGACGAAATTCGAATTCGTGAATCCACCCGTCAATTTATCACCTCTGTCTGTAGCTATGCGCCTAGTAGAAGAAAAATTCCCTAAAGAATTTATATTTTGCAGACAACAATGCTAGTATACAACTGTGTACATAGAAAAGGGCTATATAATGACAAAAGTTTAACAAAACACAATTAAATAATTTTAGAAACACTAGCATTTGATATTTGTATTGGACGATAACGTACGTACGGAAGGAACAAATGTTTGGGCAGAGTACATAGAATATAAATAATCCGAGAATCGAAAACGAGAAAACAGAGAAGAGAAACGGACTCTGGTTGCCTTTTTTTTCTCTCAGGGGCCAGGGCAAGGGTTCCCGCCCTCCTGATTCTAAGGACATATAAACTGTTGACCGTTGCCATTAATAATAGATTCTAAACCCTAAAAAGCAACAACAAAAAACAAAGCATAAAGTTTGGGGGAAAAAATAAATCTTATTGCAAGGTTTTCGTATACCAGTAAGGCAGTAAACACCAGCTCTCCCCCTCTTTATGTCTAGGAATAGCAATGGCCAATGGGGTATGTTGGTAGGGTTATTTTGATATCCATACGCATCTCATGAAGTAGATCGAATTATTTTTACAGGGCATGGGTCGGGAATAGATTGACTCATACGTGTATCTAATTTAAATAAAAAACTTTGAAAATATTCTTTTTTTTAATGAATGGATGGCTTTTTATTCATCTAATACGATCAAGTCACTGTCTTACAAAACGTTATAGAAGACAAAAAAACTAACCACTGCCCTGCTCTACAAAACCCCTGAAAAGAAAATAGCAGGCTACAAGGCAGAACAACACTCAAATACACAAAAACTACATATAGGGGTGTAAGTTTGACCCTTAAAACCCACTGACCCGCCCCGACCCTCAGGGTCGGGCTGGGTCAGTTTGTCTACAGAGTCAATTTAGGGTCGGGTCAGGATCAGATAGGGTCGGGTCACTTTTTGACCCTATGACCCTTAGCATCATACAAACACGTTGGACCTATTTGTAAAATTTTAAAAGTTTAGGTACTAAATTGTAAAAATTAAAAAATTTGGGTACCAAAACGTAATTTTACCATCAAATTTTAGGGACTTATTTGTAAAAAAAATAAAATTTAGGTACTAAACTGTAAGAAAAATAAATTTGGGTACCAAATTGTAATTTTTAGAAAAGTAGTCTATTCATTAAGGTCGACCCACTGACCCGACCCTTCCTGACCCGACCCGACCCTAAAGGGTCAGACAGGGTCATAAAAGAAATAGGGTCGGGGCGGGTCAGACAGAGTCAGAACAAGGTCATGGGCGGGTCATGCCAATTTTCAGCCCTAACTCCATATACATACTACTTAAACCTTACTTGCTTTTTATTAGGGGAGCAGCGAGTAGAGAGACGCTGAACGTGGCGTCGATCTCGTAGAGGCTCGAAAAAAACCTAAGTGTGAGCAACCAGGCTCTGATACCATGTAAGGTTTGTATGAATGATGTGTATGTATCATTAACCAACTGAGGGTATTTATAATCCAAGGATTACAAGAGAGTAAGAGTATACAACAAGGACAAGGTAATAGACTACTTATCATACAAGGAATACAAAACTAACACGGATAAGACTACATAACTATTTTCCCACCACCATTCGTCATCTTTACACAGATGGTGGGGGCGAATTTCAAAAGCTGCGTCATAAGTTGACTGCCCATGATATCACTCACCTTTTAACTGCACCCTATACGCCGCAGCACAATGGCCTTTCTGAACGTAAGCATCGACATATTGTCAAAACTGGGCTTACCCTCCTACATCGTGCTCGTCTCCCTCTTGCTCACTGGTCCTATGCATTTTCGATTGCCGTGTACCTTATAAATCGTCTTCCCTCGTCCTCTCTTCGTGGTCAAGTGCCTTTTACTGTTATGTTTAATGAGTCTCCTAACTATTCCAAGCTTCGTGTTTTTGGTTGTCTGTGTTATCCCTGGCTACGTCCATATTCAACTCATAAATTGACGCTCGTTCTCCGCCTTGTGTGTTCCTTGGTTATTCTCATCAGCAGAGTGCTTACCGTTGTCTTGATCCGGTGTCTCATCGTGTGTTTTTCTCCCGACACGTTGTCTTTGTTGAAACCTCTTTTCCAGGTCTTGGTTCACTGTCTACTCCTCCACCGTCAAGCTCTTCCTCCTCGGTGTCTAGTTGGCTCACTGCTTGTCTTCCACCGGTTACTCTTCTTCGTTCGCTGGCCACTCCCCACGCTCCCTCTTCTGGGTCCCAGCAGCAGTCGTCCCTCCCTCCTCACACATCCACCGCGACGGATTCCTCTGTGGATCCCAGTTCGACCACTATGCCATCTGCGCAGGCTACCTCTCGTCCACCACCTGCTCCGCATCACATGGTCACTCGGGGTAAGAATAATATTCGCAAACCTAATCCTAAGTTTGCTAATTCTACCGCGTTGCAGGCATCCTTCCTCTCTTCCTCCGCTTGAGCCGAGCTTCGTTAAGGAGGCCCTTCGCTTTCCTGAGTGGCGCCAGGCCATGGCTGCTGAAAATGATGCGTTATATGCAAATCATACTTGGGACTTGGTCCCTCGACAACCCCACTTCAATATTGTTGGGTCTCGTTGGGTTTGGCGTGTCAAACATAATCCGGATGGCTCTATCGAGCGGTTCAAAGCTCGTGTTGTTGCTGAGGGCTTTCGTTAGCGTCCGGGGGTTGATTTTCACGAGACATTCAGTCCTGTATTGAAGCCAGTTACCATTCGGACTGTCTTTGCCATTGCTCTTTCACATTCCTGGCCGATTTTCCAGTTTGATGTTCATAATGCTTTCCTTCAAGGTCCTCTTCAGGAAGAGGTTTATATGGCTCAACCTCCCGGATTTCATGATCCCAAGTTTCCCCGTCATGTCTGGCATCTGCGTCGTGCTATTTATGGACTTTGTCAAGCCCCTCGTGCCTGATATGATGCCATGAGTTCTTTTCTTCTTCGTTGCGGGTTTGTGAAGACACATTCCGACGCGTCCTTGTTTGTCTATCGGCATGATGGGGTCCTTGCTTATTTTCTGATGTATGTTGATGATCTTCTTCTTACTGGCAACAACTCGTTCTTCCTGACATCCTTCAGGAAGCAACTGGCGGCTCAATTCTCTCTTAAGCATCTTGGTTATGTCAACTACTTTCTGGGTATTGAGATCATTCCTACTACTCATGGTTATCTCCTGTCCCAGCATAAGTATGTGGTGGATCTTCTTACTCGCTTCCAGATGCATGACGCAAAGTCGAGTTCCACACCTCTCGCATCCACTGCTCGCCTCAGTGTCTCTGACGGTTCCAAGCTAGCTGATGCCACCCTTTATCGCTAGGCCATTGGGGCGCTCTAGTATCTCGTTACCACTCGTCCCGATGTTGCATTTTCAGTCAATCTCCTTTCTCAGTTCATGCATGCACCCACGGCAGTGCATTGGCAGCACGTCAATCGCCTTCTTCGTTATGTGGCTGGGACTCGTACTTTAAGTCTCCGCATCAGTTGACACCGCTCGCCTCTTCAGCTTCGTGTATTCTCTGACTCTGACTGGGCTGGTGATCCTGATGACCGCACTTCCACCTCTGGTTTTTTGGTTTATCTTGGTGATACGCTTATCTCGTGGAAGTCTAAAAAGCAACGCACTGTTGCTCGCTGTAGCACTGAGGCTGAGTATCGTGCGCTAGCTCTAGCCACGTCAGAGGTTTAGTGGGTTCGTAATCTCTTATCCGAGCTTCATCAACCTCTTTCGTCGCCCCCGACCCTCTACTGTGATAATTTGGGAGCAGTTCACTTCAGCTCGAATCCAGTCTTTCATTCGCGCATGAAGCATCTTGCGTTGGATTATCATTTCGTGCGTCAGTTGGTCCAGACTAAGCAGCTTGTTGTTCGTCATCTTCCCACCGCGTCACAGCTTGCGGATATCCTCACCAAGCCATTGCCGCGTACTCGGTTTCATCTACTACGGTCCAAGTTGGGGCTAGATGACGCCGCCTCCATCTTGCGGGGGCGTATTAGGGATAAGTAGTCCTATCCATGTTAGTTTTGTATTCCTTGTGTGATAAGTAGTCTATTACCTTGTCCTTGTTGTATACACTTACTCTCTTGTAATCCTTGGGTTATAAATACCCTCAGTTGGTTAATGATACATACACATCATTCATACAAACCTTACACTTTCTAATAAGAACTGCTGCAAATTCCCGGTCCCCAGCTTCTTTGGCTTCAACAACTGACTGCATTCGCCTTAGCACTTCAGCTACTTCCAGTTTTTCTTCCCATATAGGCGTCTGCAACGCTCTCGCCAAACTTCACTAAGCATTAAACACCACAACACCCGGCTAACCCTGCAGTTTTCCAGCTCCCTTACCACATTTACAACTGCTGCCTGCAAGTCTACTTCGAGAGGAAGAGCAAACCCTTTCGTGAATACAACCTGCCAAATATGCTGCACAAACACACAAAAAGAAAAAAAAAGATGTTCTCTAGTTTCCTCCTCTGTCTGACACAAAGGGCAGCAAGTATCAACAATAGGGCTCCATTTCTTAATGACATCCAACGTGCTGATTCTGCCTAGCAGCATTAGCCATGTGAATAAAGAATTTTTGGGGATTCCCCCTTTCCACAGTAGCTTAGACCAACATATTAGTGCTCCTCTGGGTCGTACACCATTCCATATTTTGCTAACATTGAATTTCACCATCTTCTCACCCTCCTATTCCACCAATGTTGTCAAAAGCGAACCGGAGTATGACCCGATAATGTGAACGGCTCGGTCTTTAGCAGTCCAACCGACATTAAATCGTTTAAAAACCGTTAGAAAGCCGGTAGCTAATAAATAATCAGTATAAATAGTGGACACTTATTAGTCATGGTAAACCATGACTAAATTAGTAAATTACAGTCTTAACTCTTAACAATTCTAAAACATAAGTACCAAAAGTTCAAAAATCCAATTCCAAACCACCACATTGTTCAAAAATTAAAGCAATGTCATTGAAATGCAAATTAACATTGAAATCAAAATGATGCAAACAAAATATTTAAATTACAATCAACCAGAAATTAACTTACCTCGAGTAGGAGGTGAGACGGCTGGTGGGAGATGTTGCTGACTGTGGCGCCGCTCTCCCTCTGTAGTCTGTTCTAGGGTCGAAAACGAAGAAATGCAATGAAAGTTAGGGTTTTGTTTGGCTGGCCCAGACCCACGATTGGCCTTCTCGATTTTAATTTTTTTTTTTTTAGGTAAACCAAACGGCCGAACCGCGCGACCGGCTTGAGCGGCTCGAGCGCTTAACCGCTTCGGCCGCTCGCCGGCCGCTGTATAAACCCGTAGCGGTTAAATAGCTGATCCGAGCCGATTTTACAGACGGGTGGCGGCTTTGGCAGTCCGGCCGGCCAGCTCGGTTCGGCTTTGACAGCACTGCATTCCACCCCTTGACCGGTGACCTGCAACTTTACTTCAAATAGACTTCTAAGCTTCGGAATTTAAATTCCAGACCCAGGAATTTTATTCTTTTTTTCACAAGAAACGAACTATAACATAGATGTAGTTAAATTATTCTTGAAATTAAGGTTCCCATATATTTATAATTTTATTATAGCTAAAATATTAGGTAATAAAATTAAAATTCTAAATAATTTATGTAAAATTACATGTGATTTAAACAAAAACTGGTAAAAATAAAGCGGGTCAGGATAACTCAAATTGAGGACACTACCCATACTCTTCTTACCCCACCTATCGGTCGGGACAGGTTACGGTGATTACTACAAAAGTAGTAATCATCGTGGTTACTAAGGGTAAATTGGGTATGGAAAAATAAATTATATTAATTAATTTTTTAATAAATTACATTTTAGGTAGTTACAAAAATCTATTAATTAAAATTCTCTCTTTCTCTCACTTCCGTAATCTCCATCCAGATTTCCTTTCCATCTTTTTCTCAATCTTTCTGAAAAAAAAAAAAAACAAAATCAGTACCAATCCATTAGACAAACACTACCACTTTGAAAAATATCAATACCATTGCAGAAATAAATCTATACCATTACACGAAAACTACCATTGCAGAAATAAATCTATACCATTACACGAAAACTACCAATATAAACAATCTATACCATAAACAATCAATACCATTGTAGAAATAAATCTATACCATTACACGAAAACTACCAATATAAACAATCTATATCATAAACAATCAATACCATTGCAGAAATAAATCTATACCATCACACGAAAACTACCAGTATAAACAATCTATACCACTGCACATTGAATCAATAAAAGGGAAGTGAAAAGAAGAGATAAGTAAAGATGAGATCAGCGCCTTCGGCATCGGTAAAGATGAGATCAGTAAACTTGGTTGCTTGGTAAGGCCAGCCGTTGCAGGTTTGGGCTTGGGACAGTGAGGTGAAGAAGGAAAGGAAGAGGAGGAACCCAGTAAGATGAGAACTCCAAGTGATTTACCCATGGCGGACACTTGAATCAGTAAAGATGAGATCAGCGCCTTCGGCATCGGGATCGCCATGGATAGCAGCGGGCGATGATTTCTGAGTAGACGAGAGAGAGAGAGAGAGAGAGAGAGAGAGAGAGAGAGAGAGAGAGAGAGAGAGAGAGAGAGAGGGTACCGAGGGGGGCTGCTGCCGGCGGTGGTCGAGGCTGCTGCCGGCGGTGCGACGGGAGTGGTACGTGGAGGCGGCTGCGACGGGTTTGGCTGGAGGGCGGATAAAACTAGGGTTTAGGTAGATTATATAGAATAATCAGGTGTGGTCACTTTTTAATTTCCAAAATTACCCTAAAAGAATCTTGACCGTAAGATTAAAAAAGAAGGAAAAATAATTAATCAAATGGTATATAAAGAGGTTACCACCGTGATTACTAAAAAACAAGTAATCACCCTAACCCATTCTTCATAATACTCGCTCAAAACATATCGAGTAAAACTAATCAAGTGAAAATTGTCATCCTATTTCTCAGCCGGTAACCGTACGTCGGCTCTCTCTGGATGTCTAATAATACAGTACAGCCTGTTTGTTATTCGCTTCTTTATTTTAATTGACAAAGATATAAAAAAAATGAGAGTGTTAGTTAGACTAACTCCAACCCAAAAAGCTATATTTAGCCTCCCAAGCTCTCAAATGTGCATATTTGCCTCCCCAAAACACCTTTTTGCTCCAACCCTAAACCTTCTAAATTTGCCTTCCCAACTCATAACCAACCAATCAAAAATTAAGAAAGTTAAAAAAAAAAAAAAAAAGATGATGTTGGAAAGTGGAGGGGCCCAGCGTGTGGGCTTGTGTTCCATGGTTGGTCCCCCACCTTCTCCTTGCATATCTCCATATGAGCTTCTATCTATCCACCCCCAAGCCCACTTCTCCAAATTTGCAAGCCAAATAATTGGTGGGTTGGAGATGAAAAAAGCCAAAAACCTCCCTTTCTCCAAATTTGCATGCTTGGGTTGGAGATAGTCTTAGACTCTCATCTTTACATCACAACACCGATAGGGACGCAGCCCATAAGCAGAGGACGAAAATGAAATGGTACCATACGAACAAAATATTACTATACAACTAATAAACGTTTGATGATGAACTCTTGCCCGAGTTATCTATATATGGAAGTGGGTAACATTTCTTTATAACTCAAGTTACAGAATCAATTGATTCATAACTGCGACCTCATATTCGTGAAAATCTTGTCACAGCTTTGTAACTGATATACTGTACGGAAACTAATGTGATATATAATATGAGAAAGTATTCTGCTTATCATCGAAAATTCTTCCATTCCGCTTTCCGACCAGATAGTAACTAATGGAGGTAACTTGGCAAATTTCACCATGGAGGCTATTGTACTAACTATATGAAACTATTCTAGTAGAGGTATATAAAATTTTGTATTTAACGTATAAATCATTCTCGACGGACATGGGTTAAAGTTATCTTGTGGATCATAATTAATTTAATTTTCCCTAGAAATGTTACAAATTCGAAATCCAAACAAAAATAAAAGAAAATATGATACGCATTGAAAAACTAATTATGTAAAATAAATGAAGATAGGGTATTATAATTTATATGTCAAGGACCAATTGGTTCTAATAATTCGAGTTGTTGAAAGAGGTTCGATTCTGAATTTTATACCACATATACTAACACGTCCCCTCAAATAAAATCACTCATATAGTCTCGAAATAGTAAAAAAAAAAAAATTATAGCACATACATTATACTCATAGAAATAACTTAAGTTGGTGGCAGTCAGTGGCGGAGGGAGAGTGTGAGAGGGTGGGTCTCGGGACCCACCCTGAATCGGAAGGAAAATGGTTAGATTAGTTATAATAATCAATTGATATTGAAAACTAGGAGGTGTCTAATTGAGAATAGTTGATCGAAAAGTCTTGTGCACGAATTTTGGAGACCTCATTTCTTAAGCACACGATATTCAGATTTGTGCACACTTCAATTCTGTATAAGCTAACTTTCTTATGAGGGAGCGTGCTAGTAAATGGTATAAGATATATATTGAACATCTCTTGATAACTCGAGTTATTGATATTGAATGGTTCTAGACAAAGAACATCATTCAAAAATGAACGACTAACTAAATCATTAATTATTGTTTGGTATAAGTTTCATTATTAAAATTCTCACAACAACTCGAATTATTGATACTAAACGGTTCTTGACTGAACACAATTCGAAAAAGAATGACTAACTAAAACATTAACAGTTGTTTGGTACATAGAGTGATATTCTTGATATTAAACGGTTCTTGACAAAGAACAACATTCGAAAGAGAACGACTAACTAAATCAAGAATTCTTGATAGTTTTGCATACTAATGTATTTTAATTTATCAGAATATACCAAAATAAGATTATATCATGAATGACTAGCAAAGTTAACAAAAATGATTTTAGCATGTGTGTTGTTTTCTAAACAGACTCATCTTAGACGAAATTCTGGCTACACCACTGGTGGTGGCAGTTAATTCTCATACGTTAAATTGTTGGGAGAGTTTAGACTTTAGATAAAGAATGTTATAAATTATACCACATACTTAGAGAAATAGTAATTATTTTATACTAACCGTCACATCTTTCACATATATAGCTCCCTCTTATATACAAACGATCGACCCACCCTCCAAACCATAACTCATTACCAAACCATATAATACGTACGCGACTTACGTTTTCAAAATGGAGACGGACAAAACTGGGCGTGTTTCCTTCCTCTTCTGCTGCTTATTCGGAGACCGTACGGCACGTCATCAGAACGAGAGCAAAAAGAAGCAGCCGCCACAGCCGTCGTTATCATCAGCTTCGTCGGTCCTAAACGTGAAGAAACAAGTGGCGAAGCTGAGCTCATTCCGAGGCCGGGTTAGGATTTCGGATCTTAGCAACCCGGACTCGTTGCCTGGGTCATGCGGCCTCCACGTCTTCACCCTTGCCGAGCTTCGGTTCATCACGCGGGGCTTCTCCGACAGCAACTTCCTCGGCGAAGGCGGTTTCGGCCCAGTCCACAAGGGCTTCGTCGACGACAAGCTCCGGCCAGGCGTCTTGAAGGCCCAGCCGGTTGCCGTCAAGCTCCTCGATATCGACGGCCTCCAGGGCCACCGTGAGTGGTTGGTACGTATCCTTATTATGGTCTTAAAAAGTTTTCCAATAGGTTACTTTAATCACTTTCTTACGCGTCAAACGAAAGTCAACTCATGGCCTTGACCATCCATATATATCATGTGCTATAAGACAACGGTTAATATTGGGGATCAGGAAAACTTTAACACGTGACCTCAAAGACGAATCTGCTCTAATACCATATAATAAACCAACTAGTCCCTACAATTTGAATTGTTGGAAGAGGCGGCTCCGTGTATGATGATTAACAACTTCCTTACAAAATAAACTCTTTAACTTACATATATATTCTCATTTGTAAGAGCTAATTTTGGATATTTAAATTTATTTTATATTAAATATTATGGATATTTATTTCTCAGTTACAAAAAAGTGAATAGCATGTTACAGAATGGATATTTTATAAATTCTTATGTTAGCACTTTCGTTTTATTTCCATGGTAATACAGGAGAGGATTGTATTAGAAATTATGTAAAAATAAAAATGGCTTTGATTAACAGCAACCGGTTTTGGTATATAATTATATTGCTACGGGTATTGTATTGACATGTGCAGACCGAGATTGTATTTCTGGGTCAGCTGAGTCACCCGCATCTCGTGAAGCTGATTGGCTACTGCCGCGAAGAGGAGCATCGGCTCTTGGTCTACCAGTACATGCCATGTGGCAGCCTCGAGAATCATCTCTTCACACGTAATTACTGTCCCCTCTTTTAATTTTTTGTTATATAATAATAACATATACTGCTTGTGAGAGTTTATTTTTTAATAATCATTGCTTAAAAAAAAACACTGCTGGAGAGAGTTGGGCCATGTTTGGGAAAAGTGGTAAGCGGCAAGTTGAGTATGTTTATGCATCTGCCCAGCGACGAAGCTATATATCTAAAAGGGTAAGTAATTGATACAATAATTGTTGGTGTCGTTGTGGCAATAATATTCACCTAATTGAGGACTTGGGTGGGAGAACAGGGTTTCAAACTTTGGCTTTTTAATTTAAGCTTGTTTTAGTTATTAATTAATGGGCAGCTCTTTTCCACCCCACTCATCAGTCATCACTCATCACAATCTAGCTTTTGGCTCTATTTAGTTTTCCCTCTTCAAAATTCTCAAAATATATGGAAACGTAATAAGATGTATTTAGTGTTTAATTGTTGTTTGATTGTTATATTAATGTATGTAGTATTCTGTTTTTATAAGACATAACTAATATTAGATATGATTGGGATATAAGAGTTGTTATAAAATGTGGCAAAGAGATAATAGTTTGAACTCTACCTCTTTCGTCAAAGTTTCTTTTAGTTTATATTAAATTTTTTTGTATTTTTTCCTATTTGTTTACAGATTGTTTCGTATTTCTTAAAATATATTCACTTTTGTATCTATAATTGGTTCATCCATTTTATTTTATTATTAAGCAGTATTTGAATTTGTGAATTATGGAATAGGTAAATATATTATATATGAAACACATGGTTTTATCGTGAGTTCGGAAGAGATTAATTATTATTTTTGTGATTTTAAAACAATTTTAAGTGGGTTATGTAATAAAAAATTTGTGAACTCTTTGTATGTGTTTAAAAAATTTTCATATATTTTCTTATCACTATAAGTATGTTGGAAAAAAAATCTCCCCCACCAAGAATTTTGGCTCCGTCCCTGCACCTGTCTCAATGATTTTAAATAGTGACAAGGGTTGCAATTGGCTAAATGCAAAATGAGCATATAATATTTTTTTTTTTTTGCCAAAAGATATCATATATTGATCAACACCATAGACAGTTACACCCTGGAAACCAGCCAGGTCTGGAAATCAAAAAAGCGACTCATAGTCGGGTACAAAGAGAGGGCTTTCCTAGCTACCAAATGAGCTACCCTATTGTTATCCCGACCTACAAAACGCACACTAAAACCAGGCTGAGTACGAAAATAATGAACAATCTCTTCCAGAACTACACCCAACCGGCTATCTCTTGTATCGGCCTGATTAACTTTGTCGATAATCACCTTCGCATCACCCTCAAAACGGACCGCCGACAACCCTTGCTCTACACACCAAATGATAGCTTCCCTAAGCACAAGCATTTCCACCACTGCTGGATCATCCAACTGAGGAAACTGGACCCCTCTAGCCAACAAGAGCATTTGGGTTTGGTCAAAAAGAACCACCCCACCAGCTGAATGAGACCCACCCTTAGTAGCCCCGTCCCACATGCAAACAAACTGGGCATCACCCACTGGACCATTAGACAGCACCATCGGGGTTTGGACCATAGGTGTCTGATCCGCTGGAAGATCCATCCACTCCTCATACTGTTGGTAAAACTGTCGCATTAGCGTCGGGATCCCAAATTGCTTGCCTTCAAAGACTACCCAATTGCGAGATCGCCAGATCCTCCAAAGGATTGCAACAACCGCCATAACCACAGACGGCTGATGGATCAAACCCAACAGTTGCTTAAGAAATAGTGGAAAGGTATGCCGAGGCAAACCCTCTCCCAAGTACTCCGACCCAGAATAATCCCAGAGAGCCCGCGCCACCGGGCAATAAAGGAACAGATGTTCCATCGTTTCCGGAAGCACCTGGACCTTTTTCTCAATAAGCGCCTCCATAGTTGGCAAGCTCGATTAAGAATTTGCCAAAGGAAAACCTTCAACTTCGGCGGGATCTTCGCCTCCCAAACTCTAATCCAACTGGGCTTATCCATCCAGCTAACCGAGGATCGCCACCCACCCCGCCTCCTGTCCAACTCAACAGCCAGATGATAAGCCGACTTCACCGAGAAGACCCCTCCAGCCGTAAAATGCCATATAAGCTTATCTGGCACATCCCAACGCGGAAGAGGGATAGCTTTGATAGCCTTACAAGTGGATGGATGAAACCATTGACTGAGCTTCTCCTCATCCCACCTCCCTCCCCCCTCACTAATAACATCTGCCACCACAGAATCACCCCCCTCCGGCAAGATACACGGATTATAGACAGGGGGATCTAATTGGCACTGAGGAATCCAGTTAGACTGCAGGAGAGGGGCCGATTGCCCATTACCCACCTGCCACCTCAACCCCCTCTCCAATAACTGGCGCCCATGAAGGATGCTTTGCCACCCCCAAGAGGGCCGAGACCTAGCCGTCGCGGTCAGGAAAGATCCTTGAGGGAAATACTTGCCTTTATAGATCTGGGCAATAAGCGATTGGGGTTCATTGAGAATACGCCAGCCTATCTTAGCCAAGAGAGCTTGATTGAACTGCTCGAACCGGCGGAATCCCATCCCCCCCCTCATGCTTACTCCTGCACATATTACGCCAGGACACCCATCTAATCTTGGGATTGCCCTCCTCAGCACCCCACCAAAAACGGGCCACGTACTTATCTAAAAGACGACATAGAGCCAGGGGAAGACGGAAACAGGACATGACATGAAGGGGAAGAGCCAAAGCTATGGCTTTAATCAACGTTTCCTTAGCAGCCCATGACAATGTCCTCTGCTTCCACCCCTGAAGTCGCTCTAGGAGTTTTTCCTCCAAAAATCTGAAAGTAGTCGTTTTGGATCGAGCAATCAGCGTTGGAAGCCCCAGATATTTATCATGGACCCCCACAGCACCAACCCCCAGAATCGTGGCCAAGAATTCCTGATCTGGCGTGGATACATTCTTGCTAAAGCACACTGCCGACTTCTCCAAATTAACGCGTTGACCACTGAGTTCCTCATATTCATTTAACACCTCAAGTAAATTCTCACACTCCTGCAGAGAACCTCTCAAAAACAAATAAGAATCATCCGCAAAGAATAGATGAGAGATTCTTGGAGCACTAGGAGCAACTTTCACCCCCTCTAACTTTTTCTCCGTGATCGCCTTTCGAAGGAGGGCTGCAAACCCCTCAGTGCAGAGCACAAACAAAAGAGGGGATAAAGGATCCCCCTGACGAAGGCCCCTAGAAGACGTGAAATACCCCGAGGGAGAACCATTCATTAGTACCGAGAAAGAGGAGGAACGAAGACACTCATGAATCCATCCTCGCCAGACAGAACTAAAACCCATTTTCTCCAACACAGCAAGCAGGAAGGGCCACTCGACTCTATCATGGCCTTTTCCATATCAACCTTCAGAGCCATGTACCCTTTCTTCCCTTGCCTTTTTATTTTCAAATAGTGCATTAGTTCATGTCCAATAAGGATGTTATCAATGATCTGCCGGTCCCTGATGAAACTATTTTGTCCCTCCGAAACAATCTGAGGGAGCATGCTAGCCAGCCACTCAACCATTATCTTGGTAATTACTTTGTAGACAAATTGGCACAGACTAATCGGCCGCAATTGTCTAATTGTTTCCACCGAGTCCACTTTAGGGATTAACGTGAGCCAGGTATGATTAAAACTCCGCAGCATCCGACTTGAATTAAAGAAGGACACTACTGCCTCAACCACTGAAATGCCCACAATATCCCAGAAAGCTTTAAAGAACTTCCCAGTGAAGCCATCCGATCCCGGGGCCTGCTTCGAACCCATGGAAAACACCGTACTCCGGACCTCACTAGGAAAAACCTCCGCCGTCAACTGAGCATTCATTTGCGGAGTAACACGATGGTCAATCGGTAGAGTCGCCACCCTCTCAGTCATATTAGGAACCTGAGTTTCCGAAGTAAACAAGTTCTGGTAAAAATTGGTGGCAATAGAAGCCTTTCCGGTTTCCTCAGTGACCCATTCACCCTCCTCATTCCGAAGCCCAGAAACGAAATTCTTCTTCCGCCGAGTCCTGGTGACCGTATGGAAGTAAGCCGAATTTTGGTCCCCTTTTTTTAACCATTTAACCCTGGACTTTTGTTGCCAGAAAACTTCCTCCGCTTCCCATTGCCGGGAGAGCTCCGTTTCTAGGGTCCTAACCGCTTCCCAATCCACCGGATGAATCAATTTTACCCTATCAATCTCCGCCTGAAGCGTCTTGATATTACGGAGGGAATTGGTAGTGCCCGCCCTACTCCAATCATAGAGTAGATGCCGAAGCCTCTTTAGGCGTTCCCAAAGTCGAAACATAGGGGTGCCTTGGACTTCCTCCTGCCAGACATAGTTGACCATGGCCCTCACCTTCGGATTATCCGCCCAACGGGCATCAAACCGGAAAAGAGGCCGACTAGTACGAACATATGGTTTATCAGCAAGGAGTAGGGCACGATGGTCCGATCCCTGATCCGTGAAGTGTTTGACTAGAGTCTCCGGGTAAGTATATATCCAAGATTGATAGCAAACCGCTCTATCCAGCCGTGCCCGAATGCAAGCATTGCCCATGCGCTTATTTGTCCATGTGAATAGGTCTCCTTGATAACTAGGGTCATGTAGACCTAAATCATGAACAAATTCGCGGAGACTAAAAGCTTGGGTCGCATTCCACTCCCGCCCCCCATCCTTTTCACTCTCGTGCAGTGTAGCATTGAAATCGCCTATGATCACATACGGGTGATTGATATTTGCACACATATTACGCAAGTGAGCCAGTTGGGTAGCCCGAACAGCAACATTACAACTAATGTAAACGAAAATCACAACATAAGAAAAATCTCCTTCATTAATTTGCGAACAAACATAGAAACTAGAATGACAAAGCACCGAAGTGTCAACCCCGGGGACCCAAGCAACTACTAACCCTCCCGATGCATCGACTGCATCTACAAAAAAACAATGCGAAAGCGGGAAACTAAAACCCTGCATACGACGAGACACTACACGCCGGTTCGATCGCGTTTCCGAAAAAAATACGAGATCCGGTTTATTAGAATGAACCAACCCTACAGCAGTTTGGAAAGTGAGGGATGGCCCAATTCCTCTCACATTCCAGGCCAGAAGCCTCATTTATCAACTGGGGGCCACTCGAGGCTGGCTTCCTCCACCTTCTCCAGAACATCGGTTGTTTCCACAAATTGCTTCTTTGGGGTAGGAGGATCACCCACCTCCCCTTCCAAATCATCAATCGCACGCTTCCGGGTCTCCACCGCTGGGTCCATGAGATTAGACCCATATTCATTGAGCGTCGAGCGAGTCCCCGTGATAGGGATATCCTCTTCTTGAGCAAAGACCAACCCAGCTTCAAATGCCTCAACCACTTGGTGGACTCGCCCAGACAAGATTCGACGAGTCTCCTTGGACGCCCC